TTTTTTTTTTTAAGATAGATGAACAGATAACTGAGAAACAAGGGTTGTCGTTCTTTTTTTCCCTTCCATGTCTTCATCTTCAATCTGATGGCTGAAGTAGGATTTTATCTCTTGTTGGCGGAAGACTGACAGTTGAACCTTCACCAGAAGACTAGTGAGAGCTGAGCGTTGTAAAGAGGAAGTCCTCTGATCTTCCAGAACACGGCTATCTGATGGAACAGTCTATAATGATACAAATATCCATTATACTGCCCATCATAGTAGCCACTGATCACTTTGCAGCTAGTGCTACTGAAGCACTTTATTTTTATTCAATGATAATGAATTTAAATCCAAGTAGCTTCCATGTGGCTAGTGGCCACCATTTTGAACAGTGCATCTCTAAATACACCCTCTTTCTAGAAAATATTAAAAGAACAAAAAAAACAGAGACATAGACCTATGGATCAGAATAGAGAAATCAGCGAGGAAACCATCTTCGTATTCTCATCTGATTTTTGACAAAGCAGATAAAAACGTGCACAGGGAGAAAAAATATCCCTATTCAACAAATGGTGCTGGGAGTACTGAATAACCACATGTAAAAGTCTTGAAAAAAGGATCTGCACCTCTTGCCACTCACAAAAATTAATTCATGATAGATAAAAGACTTAAATGTAAGGCATGAAACTAGGAGAATTCTAGAAGAAAATGTTGGGAAATCTTTTATAGATACCAGCTCAGGGAAAGAATTTATAAAGACGACCCCAAAAGCAATCATAGCCACAATAAAAATATACAAATGGGACCTGATCAAATTAAAGTCTCGGCACAGCCAAGGGCACAGAGTGAATAGACAACCTGGAGAATGGGATGAAATATCCCATTAATAAAGGACTGATAACCAGAACCTGCAAAGAACTCAAGCAAATCAGTAAGATAAAAACCAAACCACTCTATTAAAAGGTAGACAAAAGATAGAAACTTTTCAAATGAAGATAGTCTCATGGCCATTAAAAACATGAAAAAATGTTTAATATCTCTAATCATCAGGAAAATGCAAAATAAAACCACAAGGAGATATCACCTAAGCCCAGTGAGAATGGCTATTATCAAAAAGTCCCAAACAACAAGTGCTGGTGTGGATGCTGAGAGAAGGGAAC